GAATAAAGTGCACCCTTCTCTGACACCTTTGCCTATAGGAAACCATTTGCTCTCCATATTCTATCCTAATAGTAGCTTCCTGTCCACAATACAAGTTGCACTCCAGGACAATCAAGTGTTGAGGCACACCCATTTATTTCAGAACAACCCATAGTTTCTCATGATCTACACAGTCAAAGGCTTTGCTGTAGTCCAGTTGTTTCCAACCTTGGGTAACACCAGGTGTTCTTAAACTGCAACTTCCAGAAATCCTGGCCAGCAGAGCAGGTGCTAAAGGCTTTTGGGAATTGCAGTCGAAAGACATCTTGTTACCCAAGGCTGGGAACCACTGCTGTAGTCTACAAAGCATAGAGTGATCTTCTGAAATTCTTTAGCGCTATCCAGTAACTAGTGGATATTTGCAATATAATCTCAAGTGCTTCTTTCTTTTCAGAATTCAGCTTGAAGATCAGGCATTTCTTGCTCCATAGAAGGTAAGGAAAAGCCTTCGTTGCAACACCTTGAGCATCATTTTGCTTTCATGAAAAAATAAAACAATGGTCCTACATGCCTTGACATTTCTTTTCTTAGGGATTGGAATGTATGAGCAGAACAAGGATGGAATTATACAAATGACTTGAAAATAAGCCTGCAGTCCATGGAGTATGGGTGGTGAATCTCTGGTACTCCAGATTTTGGACTACAATTCGACAGACCTCCATCATTGACAGAACAGACTGAGGATTCTGGGAGTTGTAGTCCAAAGGTTTGTCACCCCACCTTAAAGTAAGCCCCATGGAATATAGTAGAATTTATTTATGAGCAGTAACTTAAGCACATGTTTACATCATGTAATAAAAAGCATTTGTAAGTGGCTGAGGGACATAGAAGGAGGCTCCTCAAAGAGTGAAAAAGCATTGTGAGTGCACTTGGGTGTCCCCCTAGGCAACTGCGTGCAGCCAGCAAATCCTTCACTTCCAAAAGCATTGTACGGGAACAGCATCAAAAAACCCATTTCAAGGATGCCAATCCCCTGGGAAGACAAATGAAGCTGAGGGAAAGTTTCTGTGCAAAACTCAGGCTCTGGCCACTTCTGGTCAAAAACAGTCCTGACATTTTAATTGGTTTCGGATTTTGCCTATATTTCATGTATGTTCACGATTTTGAATTGTGCCACACTCTGATACAAATAAAGATGTGTGGCTGGTCCCAAACCTCTCTAAATATTTACTTAGATTAGATTTTTCATATCTCAGGATGCCAACAAAAATTTCAAAGGCCAAATGAAAAAGGGAAAAAAATCAATGAATATTACATACCACCTGTTTATAACAGAATAATGGGAGCTTTAAGACTAACAGATTTATTCAGGTTGAAACTACGCAAGGAGGAACACCCAATTTCCGCTGACGTTTTTTAAACCAGGTTTCTGATTGTTTCTGCTGCTGAAATTGCTGTATTGATACAATTACATAATTAGCTCGTTGCAGGAGCCCACACTGCACTTCCCAATTAGTTCACTTTCCACCGGGAACAAAGCTCCACTTGATAAATCTCTGTCTCTTCCCCACTTCTCCCTTGATCCTCTGTTTTTCTGAAGGGACATGGTGCTTACCTGATACAGTGATACATCTGACAAACATCATTTTTTTAAAATAGAAAAAGTGTTGAGGGGAAACAAAAGGGTCTTAGTTGAGGGGAATTATCCCACTCTAATAACATGCCACACTAAAGATGTCAGTGTCACCACAGGACATCTTCATGATTGTCCCTTTGCCTTGGGATAGGCAAGCACACGCACTGCGAAACGGAGGAAAGCAATGCAATAAAGCAGTAAACCACACCCTCCTAACTCAACAAAAATAAAAGAACACCCATGGAAAAAGACTGGGTTTCCCTGGGCTTAGCTTTATGTTGTGTAGTCACTGGCAAATACTTTGATTTTGACCATGCCAACACAAAACATGGGGTAAACTGCCATGTAGACATATCCTTGTATGAGATTTGTGGCTTATGATCCATTTTGATTGTAATTCAGGAAGGTTCACACTAACATAAATAATCTGTCAGTTTAAAGTTGCCAAAATACTTTTTTTTCCTTGTTTTTCTATATGTATATGATGAAACAGACTAAAATTATCCAGCCACTGAAAGTTAAAGTCATCAACAAAGTGATGCAATGTGGGTTTAAAAGAACCACAATGAGGACTCAAGACTGCTACTCACCTTACTGTGGCCCTACACTACCCCCAGCCTCCTGAGGACACTACACAGATACAGAGTATGTCACTTAAGAGAAGAGAAACAAGAATGCTCAAGAGAAGACAACACCCGAAGGGAGTTCTCTGATGGCTAGAATCGAAAGGGTTACAGGCCCTTTTGAGAATCTTAAGGCGCAAAACCCTTTTGTTTTGAATTATGCTACCCTAATGAGAATCAGTATTCAAAACAAGTGATTAAAATTAATGAGCAGAAACACAACTTTATGCCCCTATCTTAGGGAGTAGAAAAACACACCGATCTCCTCTTAAAAGTCCTATAATATCCCTTGAGAACTAAATGTGGAAAATACCTTAATAAATCTTCCTTATATATTAGTAGCAAAGTATCAGTAGTAAAGTCTTCTGGTGCCTCCCTTCTGGAACACATTTACTGCATAATAGATCCTATCAAGAGCATTTAATTATTCTCAAAAATCATCAGATATACAGTACTCTCCTATGCACAGAAGATCTTCTTTTCTGGACGGAAAGAGTCGACATTATTTCCAAATACAGTATACATACTGTACATAGGATTGCAGCCACAACCTTGTTAGTAGGAGAACAAAAGGCAACAAAACCCAGATCCTATACAGATCTGCCAGATGAATTTTTCATGCTAAAATTTGCTACTGTTCTTACTACCTTTGCTCCTGCACTTTTTGTTGTGGCAGTTATGCATTCCTAAATTGATTCTAACTAATGCCAATTCTATGAATTAATGATCTCTAGAAGGTCCTGTTCTTAAAAGTTCTTAACAGTTCTGCTCAGATTTTGCAAACTAAGATCCATGGTTGCCTTTACTGTGCCAATCCATCTCAAGTTAGGCCTACCTCTTCTCCCATGTTTTCCCCCCCAAGGTTCTCCTAGCATTATAGTCTTTTTGAATGAGTTTTGATATTCTCATGCTGTGTTCCAAATACAATCACCTTACTTTAGCCATTTTAGCTTCTAGTGACAGTTCACTAGACTTGCTACAACATTTTTTTTTTTTTTGCCTTTCCGGTGGTCTGTGGCATCTATAAAACCCTCCTCCTCCAGCATATTTCCAACGTGCCTTGAAGGATGCTGAAAAGGCAGAAAGGACAGTGCTGACATTCAGCCTCCCTAACTTAAAACTATTGGCTTTGGCTATGGGTACTGCAGTCCAGCGCTCCTCAGCAGAGATGCAACTAACAATTTTGACACCCAGAGAAAGCAGGACTGTGCCCCACCAGATTGAGTGTGAGCCATTACCAAGAAAAAGGAGGAGGAGAATGTGTCTCTCCCCGACCCCCAAATGTTATACTGTTAGGGGAGGAAAGAACATGAGATGTTGTTTATTTTCCTGACATTCACTGGTAGATTCACCTCTACGTTTCTTCTAAATCTTGATTCCCTGGAATAAAGCCCCAGTTGCCCTGCCCTACTTATAGTACTGCTTCTGAAGAGTGCAAGAGGATTATGCTCACAGTGGCAGGTTTCCTAAATCAAGCCTACCTAGCAAACAATATGGCCTCAAATACCCTTCCCTGTACAGGATCACAGGGTTCTTTTGCACCAGCTCCCCCCCCCCATCCTGTTCAGAGTCTGGCCAAAATTTTTAGTTAGAGAAGCTCTTCCAGGCAAGGAAACTGTGTGGTGGATGGAGAAAGCTCCACCTGCCTTACATGGCTGATGGCTCTTAAAGCAACAGGAACAGAGTCCATAAGCCCCTGGCAGTCCCACACCCAGTACAGGATCATACATTATATTTTTACCCCACTAAGCTTGTACCTCTTAGCTCCCGCCATCCCTGGCTTCCTTGAAAAAGATAAAAGAAAAGGGGAACATAGAGAACCAAAAAGCTGAAGGTGATGCTAACTTGGGATGTGTATACTCTGTTGATTTTATCCTGCCCCGACACAGTGTTTGTTGCTTCAGCAATCCAGTCGTTTCCCATAACACATCAAAACCAGGATGGGGGGGCGATGGGGGGGGAGAAGAAGGTGGCATGTCAAGATTGATGGCGTATTTTATAAACTGGGAACCAGCAACTAAAGAAGAATGAATAGATATCCACCGCAGGCGCCTACGCCAGTTCAAAGAGAGAACAGGGGACACAGGGGCTGTTTGTCGCTGAAGGATTCCTCCGCACATCTGCAGAGACTCAGGATCAGTCGGGAGCGGAAAGGGGGAGAGGTGATAGTTTTATAGTTTTGTAAAGGGTGGCAGGGGAAAGGAGAAAGGTGGATGGGAAGGACCAAGGAGGGGTGGGTGGGAGAGACACCACCCAGGGGCCGCAGCTTGAAGGAAAGGAGCTGCAATCCGGTGAAGGAAAAGGGTTCTTTACCAACGAGCATGATGATGCCATGAAGCGAGCTACTTCAACTCAGATGCCGCCGTCATCATCCCTGAAACCCCGGCGAAGGAAACCCGCAGTCGCAGCAGCAGCAGCAGCAGCTTTGGATCCCCTTGCCTGGGGGGAAGCGCATCCTTCTCACGCCGCAACTCTACGAAAAGTCATCAACTGCCGCCTCTCCCACACACACCCCGAGCCCGGCAATCCTCCTCCTCCTCCTCTTCCTCCTTCCCCCGCCAAGGGAGCGTGCAGGGGTCCAGGTTTGTGGGGCAGGGGCAGAAGAGGAGAGGACCTCCGGCAGCGCAAAGCAAAATGTGAAGGAAGCCCCTGAGCTCCGAGGAGTTCAATCGCTTCTCGCCCGCCCGCCCGTCCTCGGCTTGGTCACATTGCTGCTTCCCATATTCCCCTGCTCCTGCCGCCGCCGCTGCCTTAAGCCTTACCGGATTTAGGAGGATATCTGTAGATGGAATTAGACGGGATGTCCACCTCTTCCTCTCCCGCGTTCTGCCGGCTGGTGAGGGCGCCCATCCTGCTTCGCGCCGGGCAGAGGGCATCCGGGGCGGCGGCGGAGGGCACAGGCGCCGGGCGAGCGCACCCCCCCCTTTTTATGCTTTCTCTTTTTTGTTTTTTGCAAGGCGGGGTTGGAGCGGTCTGGTTCAGAGAGAGAGGGGGGGGCAGCCAACCGTCCACGGGTGGGCAGCGGCAGGCTCCCTCTCGGAACTGCGCGCCTCGCTCACTGGCGAAGCTGCCGCATTGCCCTGCCTGCTGCTGCTGCTGCCGCCCCCCAGGGGGTGGCGGTGCCTGCTGTTCCCGAGCCCGGGCCAGACGCAGCCATTCCCCCGCCGCCGCCGCCGCCGCCGCCAACTGGCCCCATCCCTCCTCCTCGTCCTCCTTCTCTTCCTTGGCGGGAACACGACGACTGACTTCACGGGAGCCCCTTCGGGGACATGGGGCAGCGGAGCCCCCGCGGGCTTGCGCCGCCTGCTCTGCTCTGCCCTGGCCGCCCGCCGCCCTCGCTACGGTCAGCAGAGAAGGCGAGCCCCGCGGCGGTGGCAACGGCCACTGCCTCCCCTTCTGCTCCGCTCCTCTCCGCTCTCCTCTCGCTGCCGCAGCTTTACAAAAAAGCCGGGCGGGCGCCGCCTTGGCTCCCTTTTGCAGCCAATGGAGGGAGGCGGGAAAAAAGTGGCGGCGGCAGCGGGCAGCTGAGCAACCCGCTGCGTCTCCTGGTTCCCCGCTCGGCCCTCTTGGCGGAGCCGTGTGGTGCGCGCGGGCACGCGAGCTGCACAGACGGGGTGGGGTGGGGGGCTGTGTGTGTGTGTGTGTGTGGAGACGCCGCCGCCGCCTCGCTTTCAACCTGCCACCCCTGTTCACCTTGGAGGTGCAGGGCTTGCTGA